GCGTCTCCATCCATCCTAGCGTCTCGGGCCATCCCAGCGTCTCCATCGACCCCAGCGTCTCTGTCCATCCCAGCAGTTCAGCAGCCCCCAGTACCTTTGCTCAACCCAGCGGTGTGACGACCCAGCCCAGTAGCTCGGGTCAGGAAGGCAGCCTGATCAAGGTGAGCAAGCGCCGTTGGGTCGTGGTCCTGGTGTTCAGTTGCTACTCCTTGTGCAATGCCTTCCAGTGGATCCAGTATGGCGCCATCAATAACATCTTTATGACCTTCTATGGCGTCAGCGCCTTTGCCATCGACTGGCTGTCCATGTGTTACATGCTGACCTATATCCCTCTGCTCCTGCCGGTGGCCTGGATGCTGGAGAAGTTTGGTCTTCGTACCATCGCTATCACCGGCTCGGCTCTCAACTGCCTGGGGGCCTGGGTGAAGCTGGGCAGCCTGGAGCCTCACCTCTTCGCAGTCACAATGGTGGGTCAGGTCATCTGCTCTGTGGCACAGGTCTTTATCCTGGGCATGCCCTCCCGCATTGCTTCGGTCTGGTTCGGGGCTGATGAGGTCTCGACAGCTTGCTCCGTGGCTGTGTTTGGCAATCAGGTGAGTAGAGGACTTTGGGGGTGGGGGGTGGGGTGGCTGTTCCAAAGAGAGAGCATCTCACCGTGATGGGGGCTGACTATGTTAGAGGGTACCTGATTTGACCCGCTATGTAGGAAGCTGCAGTTGTCTGGTTCACAGCCTTTATGACCTTGGGTGGCTTTGTGGTTGGGTGTGACTGACATTGTGGTTGGGTTAATTGTGACTGTCAGTGGCATTGTAAGATCAATGGGGGTCATAAAGAAGGAACTTTTTCTTTCATCCATTGTTTCTCCCAGCCAGCAGGAAGCATACTTCTAAAACAGTCATCTTTGGTGGCGTGTCTTCCCCAGCCTGCATCAGTCCACGAGTTCTTTAGGAGTACTGGTCTTTCTCAGTCTTTGATACCTAGCTGTTTAGGTATGTTGGGACTTTGGCAGCTAAAATCCCCTGTGCATAGTACTTTGGGCTGGGCTGTTTTTTATCTCCTTTTTTTTTTTTTTTTTTTTAAAAAAAAAAAGATTTATTTATTTAATGTATGTGAGTTGCTCTGTCTCCATGTATGCCTGCATGCCAGAAGAGGGCATAAGATCACATTATAGATGGTTATGAGACAGCATGCGGTTACTGGGAATTGAACTCAGGACCTCTGGAAGAGCAGCCAGTGCTCTTCACCGCTGAGCCCTGTTTTTAACCTTCTTTTACACACTGTCCTAAATAAGGACAGTGGGAACAATGTTTTGTGACCCTCTCTGGGGTTTAGAGTCTATCAGGATAGAGTAGAAATTTCGCCCTGCCTGAACTTCCAAGAAGGCTTCTAGTCTAAGCACCTCATGTTTTTATTCTTTCCTCCTTGGGATTGGGGTAAGCAATCCCAAATTCTTACAGTCTTAGTATGTTCAGATCCAGAAAGTTGGACATGTTATGTAACTGATTACTTCCTCTATGTATTTGAAGCAAAGCAAGTATGTACGGGTGCTGCTTTAATGGGAGCCTCAGTCCTCAGACTCTCACTTCTAAGTGCATACTGTCCAGGCAGTTGACAGATCACTGGTCACCCTTCCCTCTCGTAAGCCTATTTTTATTTTTGTCTTACCAGTTTGTGTCATTTAGAAAGTGTAACTTCTATCTCTGTGAGTTCGAGGCCAGCCTGGTCAACAGAGTGTGATTCCAAAACAGCCAGGGCTACACAGAGAAACCCTGATACACACACACACACAAACACACACACACAAAGCCATTTATCTGTTGATGAGGTGATATTGTGGTATGGATCTCTGTTGGAGGTCAGTGATATGAGTTCCAGGCCTACTAGGGCCACATGCTGAGACTCTGTCTCCAGAAAATGATTTACCTAATTTCTACTTGTGAGTTTTGTTGTTTTGAAGACTGAAGTGACTAAAAGTCTGGAGAGTTGGACAGTGGTAACGCGCACCTTGAATCCCAGCACTCAGAAGGCAGAGATCGGAGGAGCTCGAGACCAGCCCAGTCTACATAAGTGAGTTCCAGGACAGCCAGGGCTACACAGAGAAACCCTGTCTTAAAAAACAAACCAAGAGGCAGGTGCAGTGGTACATGACTTTAATCCCAGCACTTGGAAGGCAGAGGCAGGTGGATCTCTATGAGTTCAAGGCCAGCCTGGTCTACAAAAGCAAGTCCAGGACAGCCAGGGTACACAGAGAAACCCTGTCTTGAAAAACAAGAAAAAAGAAAAAGAAACCAAAACAAAAGCCTGTAGATGAATCTAGATGGGCCTTCATTAAGGACAAATTACAGACACTGAGGGCTGGAGAGATAGCATGGCATTTAAGAGCACTTACTGCTTTTACAGAGGACCTGAGTTAGAAGCTCAGCACCCATGCTGGTGACCCAAAACTACTTATGCCTCCTCCTTCCTGTGGGAACAGCACTCAGATGTACATACCAACAGACTTACACGTAATAATAATAAACCTTTAAAAATACTCTTACAAAAGATAAATATTGAATTGGGTGTAGTGTGTCCTCTAATCCTAGCACTTGGGAGGTGGACACTGGAGGATTAGGAGTTCAAGGTCATCCTAGGCTACATAGTGAGTTCAAGATCACCTGTGACTCTGTCTCAAATATATATAAATAAATAAGAGAATTATATTTGTCAACCCTAAATTCTTAAAGTAATATGGCTCTGAGTTTTAATGTTCCTAGCCTGGCAGGTAGATTTGTCCTTTATTGGGTCTAAGATTAGGACATGAAGAGTATATCTTCCAGAAGGTCTTCATTCTATTAGCAGAATAGGGTTCATGTAAGGTGAAATAATCCAGCCCTACCATTGGGGAAGAACTAGAAGTTCTTTCTGTTTATCTGGGTCCATCAAAGTAGGGGTTTCTTTTCTTTTTTCCTTTCCTTCCTTCCTTCCTTCCTTCCTTCCTTCCTTCCTTCCTTCCTTC